CAAAGCATTAAGGCTTGTGTGCTTGACTTGAAGTGAATAATAGAAATGTTGTCAATCATTTAAAAAGCTTTCTCTATGTCAGAAAGAATTCATATAATGTTATATTAAAACTATCAACTTTATCTGACGGATCAAGTAGCGATCAAGATCAATGAAATGTTGATTGTAGTAAAGTAGCCCTTGAAAACCTGTTTTATGTCATGTATGCACTGTTTTCATGGAAATGGTTATAACTTTCTTATAACCTTATGTGACATGCCCCTTTGGGATAGACAAGGAAATTCAGTTTTTGAATGTCTTTTGGGATCGCCTCTTTGAAAATTTGTACCCATTCTTCATACTTAGGCTGATATCTCAAAATAATTTTCAGTTACAACAAAAATTAAAAATCAAAATAGCCGCCTTTATGTTTTCATGGAAAAATCATATTGATGTATGACTTTGTTAATTTGACCAAAATTATTACATCATGAGTCCTTACCCATTATGAAATAATTGGAAAATATATTTTATTTGTTTGTATTCGCCTCTCCAATTTCTATATAGCATCACGAAGATCAATTTAACGTAAACAGGAAATGGAACTAAGACTTATCTTGTTTGTATCGGAGATAGAGAGTAATATGACATTACTGATGAACCTCCCCCACCTATTAAATACCTGATTTACTTGTAGTATTGCTGTTTGTTTGTATTGTGTTTTGCTACCTTTCAGCTCAATTAGGAATTTGATACTTTCGGTAGATGAGAGGTTGTTATTGTTGATAACTGCATGTGTATTGATATATTCAGTGGATTTAACAGAGAACTAAGACAATGGGTATCCCACTGAATAAAGGTTGAGTAGGGATAAAGAGAAGCCATTAGTCTGTCCATCCATCTCTCTGTATGTCCATCCAATCATTGATGTATCAATAGCTCAAAAATACTGGTTGTTTAATTTTAATGTAATAGTCTATTGCCTATTATATGAGTTTAAAGGAATTCTAGGCGATAAAAAAATAACAAAATATTGCTTCTGGGACAAGATCAAACTACTTTTACAAATTCTTTACTCCACCTATTTTGTAATTTAACAGTCAACAGAAGTATACATACCATATTTCAGCTGATATCAAAAAGAAGGAAGAAGGAATTTATAATATGGCTGCTCAGTTCAAAATGGCTACCATTTTTTTGTTATTAAAAGTATAGATATTGGATTTTGTTTAAATTTTAAAGACTAATGTATTGTTTAAAAATAACTTCTAATTGAAAAGGAGCTTGCAAAAATCATTATGCTGAAAAGAAAATATTGCAATTAAATGTTGAAAAAATATTTCCCTTGCTTTCACCTTTTTTGTTGAAATATAGAACAACTGCACCTCTAGGCTATTGGTTCAAAATAGCATGCCCACTTTGAGTTATATATCATACATGTATACTGAAGGTGTATTTTTGCGAAACTGAAACACGTCACCTGAGTGGTAATTTCAATCATAAAAATCCAAAATAATGAGTGATTTGATTGTTAAGATTTGTTTTGTTCAGTGGGATTTGTTGTTCCTCCGTAGTTGCTGTGTATCTAGATTGAAAATAATCTGATGACGTCTTTGCCGACCTTAGGTTGTTTCATGTCAACAAATTAATAGTATCTGAAGATTAACAAATACAAAATGATCTCCTAGCAATTGGCCAAATTAAGGTTTAAAAGATCATTCATCTGTGAATGGACCTTATTAAGTCAACACAGAATAACAAAATACGAAACTTCCTTATAAGGTCAGTTGAGGAAGCTTTATAATACAAAAACATGGTCTTAGGACAAATAAGAATTCAAAAGATTTCTTGATTCTTTTATATGCTTTACACATATAATGTTTCCCATGGAAAAAAGAACAAAGGGAAATCTTGGATGAGGATAATTAAAGATAATGAAGGTTCCCAGGAATATAGTATAATCTATTTATGATTCGGATTGGTCATTGGAAGGTAAACAATTTAGGGCATTCATCTTAATTGTGATTTCTATCATTGATTGTTTCCTGATAGAGGCTGTGACTCTAAATGTCGAGTGATCAAAAAGAAACAAAATTTGATACACATAGGCAAGGTGAGTAAATGTGCATCATGATAAACAATGACATCTCATTTCTTCTCAGTCCTGTCATTGATTCAGGTGAAACAGAAAGATGTTATTGAGGATAAAGAATGGTCAATGTGGACTATTTACGTATATAACATTTGTTATTATATCAGGGAAGTCTTTCCTGTGACTGATTCTGTTGATACTGGTACATGTATTTGTTGTTGATTATTGATCAAATGCTGAGAAACAGGGTTTCTCCTGAGGGATTACAGGGAGAAAGAGGGATATGGATACACATACATGTACATGTATTTGCTTTTTATTGTACCAAAAAGGTACAATATTGACATCAGCATGGCGGATGGGTGGCTTTCACTTTTCTTTTATCACGATTCCAGAAAAACCACTTAATGGATTTACTTCAAATTTCACACATGTTTCAGATGTGAATTGCAGATGAAGTTCATGCTCTCACTAGTAGCTGTTATTTTTTCATATTGAAACTCAATTGGTGTCATTTAGATCATGTCAGCAACAAAACCTTATCTGGCCTTGTCAAAGAATAGAAATAACTACTAAAATCTGGGAATCGAGGTAGAAAAGGGTAAGTATGATGTCATATGCAATTTACTTAGGAGATAATCCCAAGGAAATATTCTGTATTATCTGTGCTGCTTACTGAGATTGTCCCCTCCATACCAAGATGATCAATGGGGACAATCTCAATAGCAACAGATTGGCACAGCACAAGAACTGACCAATCAGAGGGCTTCATTTTACAGATCATATAATAAAAATACTTATTAATGTTTCAGTGATGATGGTAATTTCCCTCAGTTACATATACATGTATAAGTATATGTGGGTTGATATGCATCAATTGTTTGTTAAATTGATATCACACCAGTGTGCTTTAAAATATTAGTGAAATGAATAATCTCAATTGGACTAATGTCAATTCTTAAATGCAACGCATGTGATAGATATTTCAAGGATGTAGAATGAGAATATTTGGTAGGGGCTCTAACCTCCTCCCCCACCCACAAATAAAAAACTTTCAATGCTAAAGCAACTCCTTTTGTAATGTAAAGGGTATATGAAAATCCAGTGGGCAGAGGGCCAAATTTTTTCTGCACAAGCGCGAAAATTTTGTAAAATAATGCTCAGTTGTTATCTAAATTTTCCAGTTTATGTTTTGAGGAGCAAAAAAGGTAGGTCCACATTTTTTAAGAGAGGAGGGCAGGTTGGGTCCCCCCCTCCCCCAGCTACAAACCTGTTGGGCTACTTACTATGTGTTAATAGTGATGAGTAATAGCTTAATCCCAGATTTAAATACCATCTTTTAAAGATAGTCTATTGACATTTGGCAAGTGAAATAATGCACATCATGAATTCAATCAGCCCTTGACTTAGAGAACTGCTTGTTCAGATTATTATAGTTACATATCGATCAGACTTAAAAAAATATGGTGATATTATATATTAACCTCTTCACTACCCAAAGTGACATGAATTCTTGTCACAAAAGAATTAACCTTGAGACCTAGCATGACAAGATAATCTGTTAAAGAATTTGGCACTGAAATTGCTCCAGTATTGACTATATTAATCCAGTCTATATACATTGTTGTAAAATGCGTAAAGAGGAATGATGCTTTCTTGGTTTACCAAATTGAGCATCTTCGTTTTGTGTATTATGAAGCAAAAACATGAAGAAATTAAAATAGCTGTGATTGTCTTGATGTTCAAATTAAAAATTCCCTTCTACACCTCATAGACTGATGATAGGGAATTGATAAAAATCTTAAAGCAGGCTTTGATGTGTCCATTTCAAATATTGAAGAATATGAAAATTTGATGCCTTTAGCATGACCTTCTGCAGCGTTGTAATAAGTTCAAAGCAAATATGTACTCTACAACATAAACTCATTTATTTTAATTTGAAAAATTCATTATTTCATGAGAAATGAGAATTGGTGAATATCTAATTATCTGACACGATTAATATTTACACTGATTTTCCTGCAACATTTATCAAATTGCAAAATATCTCTGATATTAATGAAAACACTTGGATACTTGATGCACTGGCTTCTACTTTACTGTGAGTCAATAACGCTCATTATGGCGGGGAAGTTTCTACTCTTAGAGGCTTGTTAGAAAATGTTCCAATGTTTAATATGCAAAAGCCATGTACAAGTATGCATTTAGTGCAGGCATGTGGAAGCATAGAGGATTATTAACATTCTCTGAAAGGTGTTTCATTGTACAGAAGAGACGTATCTTACATCAAGTAATTTAGGGTTGGATATCGTAGATTCTCATGGAGTTAATTGCAATTTGAACAAGGAATGATTGGTATAAGAGATTTGATGTACACGTAGATGTAATTTTTATTTTCTTGATTGTTATCATTACATAAAGAGATAGGGGTCCATCCTGGATCTCCCATGGTTGGACCTTCTTTAAAAAAAGTAAAATATCATATTGGTCAATCAGTTATTAAAAGGAAACAAAGTATGAGAATAGTTATCAAATATTCTAATAATATCGTTTATAAGGGCTTACTTTTTAATGAAGCTAATGACGTAAAAAACGTGGTATGACCAGGCCAGATTGGTGACAGTTTCTGCAAGGGCATATGACTTTTCTGTCGCCATCATGTTTCTTGCTGATCCGTCGCAATGATATTGGACATGTAGTAGTTCATACTACAGGCTGGAAGCAATTAACATGTTGCAGATGATTAGGTGATCTCGCGACTTCTAGTTTCTCGGAAATTTTGAAAAACTACATCTTTAATAATGATATTCCTTACACAGCGTTAAGAACTGGAATTGATGTGTAATTCTTATAAATATTTCAGATATTATGAGGGGTTTAATTGTTAAGTGTAAACTGCCATTGATTTTATCTATGATTTTACTTTTTTCAGTTGGATATAATTAAACAAGGGAAAGAGAGGCTTAATACCGCAAGCAGCTAGATTATTCCACCATGTAAGGTGTCAGATGGAACAGTGCTCAGGACAAGCAATAGGTGACAGAGAAACTCTATTTTAGGATAGTAACCAGAGGAACATTGCACATCATAAAAGTTTTACGTCACCACAGACTGGCCATCAATTACCAGGCAATATGGAACTGCAGGATCGAATATCAGAGGATAGGAGAAACTAAGACAAATAACAATGGCGGCCTCAGATTAATAATAGATCACCATAATGAATCTGTGTAAATAATCTATAAATCTAAACAATAAGGGGGAATTGATTAGCATGTGAAGAACAGAGATTCGTTAATTTAGATAGAATGCAGAAAGCGGTCCGAATAAATGAGACACAACTCTTGTATCTTGCCGAAAAAGCTCGACAGGAGAATTCAATCAATGGAAACTTGTACAAGAAAAGCGCAGATACTGGAAAATGGCAACAAAGATGGTTTGCGTTATATCAAAATCTTTTGTTTTACTATGACAGCAACACGTCATCTCGACCATCCGGGGTTGCGTTGCTAGAGGGTTGCTATTGCGAACGATTGGTGGCACCATCTAAGGGCAAGGAGAATGAAAAACAGGTATTTATTTTTTATAATAGAAATGAGTTTGTACGAGATTTGCCATAGTTACCATGCAACCATTGTAGCCATATAGAAAATGGCTGCTTTTTAAACTTCATTTTATCAGAGATAATATTTGTAAGTGATGTTACCTTCCTCCATGTTAACTATCTGTTTATTAGGGCCTACTGAGTAAATATAAAACCTAAATTGTCAAATATTTTTATTATGTCACCACTCGAAGTGGTGACATATTGCTGTAGTCTACAACTTTTTGTGGATTTGTTGTTCAGTCATTGGCATTCGGCGATTTTGTATCAGTAACAAATGGCATGTGGTGACATTTTGCACATTAATGCCTCATTTTTTACTTTTTAGGATTTTAGAGGGTTCATGAAATTTGTCTTAGCCATTGCCAATTTTTAGTACAAAACTGATCATTGTTAACAGTCATATAGCCTTTGCCAATTTTTAGTAAAAAACTGATCATTGTCAACAAACAGTTAACATGATTGGCTTTACATGATTTTTCTCTCCCAATGGACAAATGTAAAAATAATTAGCTTAGAGCTAGCAGTCTCATTCAGGGGAACATATGATCCAGGAGACAAGAAAATGGGTTTATCTTAAGAAGCATAAAAATGCCTTTCCAATGAGCCATGGCTTAGGTCTTAAAATTTTCCTTATCTTAAGAAGCATAAAAATACCTTTCCAATGAGCCATGGCTTTTTCCTTAAATCTAAGAAGCATAAAAATACCTTTCCAATGAGCCATCAGGCATCAGAAATTTTCCTTACAGATATACCAAAAGGACAGATTTGAATTTAGCACATTTTCCTCGTAATCTTGGGCACATTTTTGGAGCTCTGTAGCACAATTTTGATTTTTGTGATGAGACCAGTTTTCCTGTATTGAAGCTCATGTAGGAAATATTTGGGTAATATGGGCCGATTCTACTGTCAGCCCATATTTAAGCCCATACTGTATCGGGTTAGACAGTCAATGCTGTCAATGGCTGGTCCTTTTATGTATGTAAATGAAGCTTAACAATTGTATTGATGATTGATCAATCTAGTATGTATGTCATATTGTGTAAATCAAGGCACCGATTTTAATTTACCAGTGTATATATATAATGTATCACTCTGTGATGTAATATTGTTATACATACTACACATGTTCATCCATCATGCAATTTATGTGATCTCCTAGAAATGTTTGAAGAACTATACTGAGACTCAAATATAAATGATAAAGACATCATTAAAGACATTTAAAAGACAAGAGGACTTTTTACAATTGAAAATGGGTAATATATGGTTTTTGAACTTGCAATATAAGTTTAATAAAAACCCAGATACATTATTCTGAACTTAAAATGGTTCAATCTCCGAAAGAAGGTTGACAAAAGAGGCTAATTGAACATTATTTTGAAAGACTTAAATGGGTAAAGCGTTGGCTTTTATTGAAGTATGCTGTTACAGTTTCCTTGTTAGTTTAAGTAAGAGTCAATTGCCTTACTTATTGCATGAGTATCTCTTTAACCTCTTAAATCTCAAGCTCTTAAATCGGTTGAAACCAGAGAATTTTTTAATTTTTGTCACCTTTTGACATTTTACTACATACCTATACAACTTTAGATTCTCAACATAGTAAAATTAGACTGCAGAGATCATTTCTATTCTACACATTTAAAATGTAAATTGGATGAAAATTGTTCAAATAGAAGCAATTTAAGTGGAAAAAGTTTTGACATATTTTCTTGGCACTCAAGGTCATTTCTGAGGTGACGAGAAATCTCATCACTCCAGGTAGTCAAGAGGTTAAACAAATTCTGATCATGAAATTGAAAATTGAAGATTAATTTAACTGAAAATAAAATATTTATAGAACTGAAAATAAAAGATAAGTGGAATTCAAAAATAAAATACTTGTATTAGTAGCACTGAAATAATAGAATTGTAAATAGAAATAAAAGATCAATAGAACTAAAAAATTAAAAGAACTTAAATAAAATATAATTAAAACTAAAGATAAAAGCTTAATAGAACTAGAAATTAAATAAAAGAACTGAAAATAAAAGATTAAAAGAACTAAAAGTAAAAGATTAATAGAACTGAAAATAAAAGATTAATGAAAGTAATAGACAAACCATGAGATAGAGAGAATTTATTACAGATAATTCTTTATGATATTCCTTCAGAAGTTAAAAGATTTTGAGATAATGAAACTGACATTTTCCATTTAGAAAATCGTGATGATTTGCAAGGTCATGATGATTTAGAATACTCATCCCTTTGTTGGGTATTTTTTCTTGTTATTGTTAAATTAAAGCAGCGCTGCATTCTATTTTATATACATGCAATATTTCATAAAGGTCATAAAGCACTGTGGGGATTTATCAAGCTTTCACCACTGGTATTTCATTTTATAATGGAATTGTATGCGTATCAATAGTGCCACTGTGGTTGTGTTATTTTATTGTTTAATTGTTATTAAGTCACATTTTATATAGATTATCTTTTCCGGATTTATTAATTGTTTAATTGACATAATTGTTCAATAGACATCCGGTGTCTGTCTAGGCCTTCAATTAAGGGACTTTTGAAAGCCCTTGGTATTATATACACCAACAATAATCCTGTTGGCTGGTGTCAATGGCAACACAACATAACATTGGGGTCCCTCAGAATATAAAGTATGACCTTCAAAAGCACTGATTTTTGTCACCTCGTGTGTAAGTTATTAGAATTAAATTATGGCACAAACTTAAGACAAATTGTGGCACAAACTGAGGACAAATTGTGCCACAAATGGAGGACAAATTGTGCCACAAATTGAGGACAAATTGTGGCCCCAAACAGTTGAATTAATGCCTTACTTCAATGAATGCATTATGCATTTTCTACTTTAATCACACAGATATATTGTAAGTACTCTGAAGGTGAATTCCTCCTGCAGTACTGCAGTACACTGAAGGTGAATTCCTCCTGCAGCATGTTTTAACCCATTTAAAGGATCTTAAAAAGATCTTAATTGTTTTTATTAAAGAGGACAGGTTGGGAGACCAATATTGATATCAATGTACATCCCCATGACCAAAATATAGATAGAGTTAGATATGATGTCTTATAAGTGTGATGGTTACATACGTTAACATATAAACATATTGGAGAAAGCTGCCACATAGGCCTGAATGAAAAGTTAATCCATAATTTAACAGGAATGCTTCGATGCAATATAAGTTACAGATTATATGATGTTCTTGTTGATGTCAATGTATGGCAGGATGCTAGCTAGACTCTCTTGTTAGGCTTTCAAACTGAGGCAAAGTGCCTCATTCTAATTTGCTTCAAGCTCATTTGCCTCACCTCAGCAGCTAAATGAAACTTCAGTGAAACCTGAAAATACCTCTAGAAGTGGAACACCTCTGTTAGTGAAACACTTTTCAGAGTCCCAGGACTAACTGACTTAGTGTTGAATAACCTCTTTAAGTGGAACATATCCCAAGTGGAACCAAAGGTGTTCCACTTAGACAGGTTTTACTGTATTCCTAACTGCAATTTTGAATTCTGAAAGAATAAAATAAAACATACATGTTATCACTACTTAAGGATTTAGCACTTGACATTTTAAATGGTCAGAATCAGGAGAGGGAACAGCTATTACATTTTCCTTCAGAATGGTGGAAGGTCAATATTGATTTTGATATTTTTAGTTTCCAACAAATGAAAACCAAAGTACCATTAACATTCAGTTTTGACATTTAAATGATTCCGAGCATGTATGACATAGAAACTTCGCAACATGAATTGTTTTTATTTCATGTGAAGCTACCACGATTGAACAATAAATTGTATTGCTACCTCTAAGGCCAGGGTTATTGTTGTGCAATTCATGTTACCATTCTGTAAGAAGTAGAATATATATCGTTCAGTCATCGAGTCCAACCATGATTTAGGAACTGTAAATCGGACTGTAGGGTTCATATGCTTATACTTGTATATCACATAAGTTTGACATCGTAGAAAATTCCAAAAATTTCTAAGCTGAATGTTCATTGGCAAAAAGTCTTTTGTCCACCATTTTGAAGTAACAGGTAACGGCTGTTACTTTCTCCTGATACTAACCATTCATAGTTTTGGGCTCACATTAATAAGCACAGCAATTTCAATCTTCACACAGGAGTATTCAACAGTTCTGATGATTGTTGCAAGTAATATGTTCATATAAGGTTCTTTAATACAGAGGCAAGCCACTTTTCTTTTTGTTTCATATCAGTATGAATTTATCACTCATTTTCAGCCCCATTGATCTTCTGATAATTGATAATTTTTCACTCTTGTAATTAGTTACATGATCCCTATAACACTCTGTTTAGAGACAATCCACTGTGAGTATCTATACTGATAAACATGATAGTGCCATGCGCTACATCCTGCCCAATCCCATTTTCTAATGAAGTATTGGATGGTTTCTAATAGATGCTGATGATGCAATGTAATAATGCTGATAAGTAACAATGGACACTTTTCAATATGTGTTGCTATATAGAAACAACCACATAGGGTTAGGGTTACAATTAGTATACTAAGGATCATAGTGAATGTAGTATCATAATATATGACAATGATTTGTTATAATGAGTGCATTTAATTATAAAATTATGGGTCAAAGCAAGCAGAGTATCATAATATTATGGGTCACAGTGAGTACAGTAATATAATATAATGGGTCACAGCTTAGTGCAGTAATGCAATATAAAAGGTTACAGTAAATACATGTATAGTAAAATAATATTATCCGGCCTCATAAACTTCCACCAACACAAACATAAGTTCTGAACTCATAAACTACGTTCCTTGCACTCAAACCATGATTCTTACATTGCAAACGTGAAATCTTTAGTCACGCACTACCATTTCCTCACTCCCGAACGTGTTTCTACACTCGCGCAGAGATTATGTGCTCGCGAACCACTATTTACTAGTGGTTGGAAGAGCACGGATCTCTGTTTG